TCCCTCCGACAAGACGAACGTAAATGATGTGCTCAAAGGGCGCTGGGGCTGTCCCGGAGCGCCCTGGAACGCTCTGAGGGCGTTCTGGAACGATCTGGAGCGACTCCCTGGGCTCCATCCCGGGCCTGCCTGAGCGAGGGCTCCAGCCTGGGCCCGAGGGCTCCCTCTGGAACGCTCTGAGGGCTCCACCCCTGGGCCTGCCCGAGCGAGGGCTCCAGCCAGGGTCTGAGGGCTCCCTCTGGAGCGCTCTGAGGGCTCCACCCCTGGGCCTGCCCGAGCGAGGGCTCCAGCCAGGGTCTGAGGCCTCCCTCTGGAACGCTCTGAGGGCTCCACTTCTGGGCCTGCCAGACCGACAGAGGGCCGCCCAACTCGCCGAGGCGGCCGCCGAAGGGGCCGCCGACCGGGGCCGCTGAGAGGCCGGCCTCGGCGACCTGCCGCCCATCGGGGGGGGCCGCCAGGGGGGCCGCCCAAAGGGCCACCGAGGGGACGCCGAGAGGCCGCCTGGATGGACCGGGCCCAGGGGCACGTCGAGAGAGCCCGATCACAGCTCGAACGCCTCTCCACGGGCCCCCATACCCTGGAACCCCTTGGCTGCACACGCAGAAAAGTCACACGTAGGCTCCCAACACGCACGGGGCTCCAAACCTGCGTAAGGCCCCGAGTCATGCTGAATGATCCACTTGGGTCACGTGGGGAAGCCGTCAGTGTGCCACCGCTGAAGGTCGGAAACAGCAGGCCCCAGGAGAAACACAAGAGGGCAACACGCTAACGAATTCCCGATGGCGGCGTGTCATCAGTGCTGTTTATCCCTCCTGGACTGGGAGGCCTGGAAATGGGCACCAACACCAACACAGGGGGCTGCCTCCACAGGGGTAAGATGATCCTAGACTTTTGTGTTGGTGGTAGTAGTGCGGCCACACAACCAAAGCCAGACAATTACCACCATCACCGAGACCGGGAGCATCTTACCTCGATGAAGGCAAAACACCAGTCTTGGTGTTAGTGTCGACCTCTAGGCCTCCGCTGGACAACGGCTGTCAACCCTCTCTTGCCACTGAGATCCGACGTGGCGAAAGAAATGCAGCACCCGAAACATAACGACCGAAGCCCCTGACCCCATCCTCTGCGCCATGTGTCGACCTGTATCGACCTGTGAGGTCCCGGCGCCCGACACCGGGCAAAGACGCCTGGTGTGAAACCGCTGATCCCTAAACTGAAGGAAAACTGGGACACACAAACAAACAAAAACAATTAACCAGATCCCCCATATTTTCCCATATGTTCTGGGTGTTTGTCTTCCCCCCCCCACTTCCTATATTTCTCCACATTTTCGGGGGAATCGACGATTCCTTGCGTCTGAGTGTTTCTCTCCCTCCTGCTGGACCTCTAACTAGGTGCGCTCCGACCAGAGCTTCGGGGAGACCCTCGCCGTGGCGACGGGGGCTGCCCGGGACGAGCAGCGGCCTCCGCACACACCTCCTCCTCCTCCTCCTCCTCCTCCTCCTCCTCCTCCTCCTCCTCCTCCTCCTCCGACCTCCTGCCCCTCCTCCTCCTCCTCCTCCTCCTCCTCCTCCTCCTCCTACTCCTCCTTTCTTCGACCCTCCCGCACGCCGCACTCCTCCTCCTCCTCCTCCTCCTCCTCCTCCTCCTCCTCCTCCTCCTCCTCCTCCTCCTCCTCCTCCTCCTCTCGCGGCCCCGGCCTGGGCGACCCCGCCATCTCCCTCAGCGCCTCCCTCGCCTCTGCGGCGAGCGCCGGCGCCGGCGGCCGCCTCCGCCCGACCGCGCGGGCCCGCGGCCGTCGGCCGTCGGCGGAGCCCTCGGCGGATCCCGCGGCGGATCCCTCGGCGGCCCGCGGCGGCCTTCGGCCGCTCTCGGCGGCCTTCGGGGCCCCGGCGGCGGCGTCGTCGGAATCGTCGTCGTCGTCGTCGTCGTCGTCGTCGTCGTCGTCGTCGTCGTCGACCAGCTCCAGTTCGTTGAGCATCTAACCTATCCTCAGACCCCGAGCCATCCTGGCATGGTGCCCCCAAAAGCCCAACGTCGTGAAGCAAGCAGAGCGGAGTTTGTTCACTTGTTTCCGGCATCTGGGGGTACTCGGCGGGCCCCGAGATTATCAACAAAACGACTCGGATGAATAGCGAGCCATCGGGAAAGTCTCGGGACTTCCTGGGAGCCCGGACTGAAAAAAACAGTGCGTCGGATATTGTCTGGATTTGAAGGGAGGCCACGCTCCCTTGCAAAAGCTCCACGGGTCCGCGCCGAGAGGAGGAGTATGAGGAGGAGGAGGAGGAGGAGGAGGAGGAGGAGGAGGAGGAGGAGGAGAATGAGAGGGGGCAGAAGATCGAGCAAACACTTATCCTCCTCCTGCTCTCATCTCGACGCCCTGCGGAACCGTCTTTTTGATGGCTTCGTGGCCACGGCAACACAAAGGCGGTGGAAGCGAATCTGGCCACATGTGCATCCAACTCTCGCCTGGGCCAGCCGCGTCATGCGCATCCAACTTCCTGGTATGCCCGCCTCTGGGGAAACCAAAAAATACCAATACCGCTACTCCCCAGACCTCTTCCCGGGGTGCCTTCTGACCAGAATCTCGAAGCGAATCCAGCGGCTGGCAACGAGGGCCTCCCAGGAGGCCCGAAAAGGCGAAAACGAGGCAAGGGTAGCAGTGGAGGGAGGAAGGGAGGAAGGGAGGAAGGGATGCAGGGAGGGAGGGAGGGAGGGAGGGGGGAAGGGAAGAGGAGGAGGGGAGGAAGGGAGGAAGGGAGGAAGAGGGGAAGGACGGGATGGAGGGATGGAGGGAGGAAGTGAGGCAGGAAGGGAGGGAGGGAGGAAGGAAGGGAGGGAGGACGAGGAGGGGAGGAAGGGGGGGAGGAAGCGAGGCAGGGCCGGCCCACGCAGCAGGGGGGCGGCAGCCAAGGCGTCGGCGATAGCCAGGGGGAGAGGCGGCAGAGGGGGCCCGGCCTTCTTAGAGGGGAGGGCGGGGCTCCTCGGAGGGCCCCGCGCCTCCCGAGAGGGCCTCCTCCTCTCCTCCTCCTCCTCCTCCCTCCCTCCTCCCTCCTCCTCCTCCTCCTCCTCCTGCTCCTCCTCCTCCTCCTCCTCCTCCTCCTCCTCCTCCTCCTCCTCCTCCTCCCTCTCCCTCTCCTCCTCCTCCTCCTCCTCCTCCTCCTCCTCCTCCTCCTCCTCCTCCTCCTCCCTCCTCCTCCTCCTCCTCCTCCTCCTCCTCCTCCTCCGCACGGAAGGCTTCTCGCAGGCCCCGCCTCCCGAGAGGCCGCCTGTGGCTGCGGAGGCCGCACGGAAGGCCTCTCGGAGGGCGCGGAGGCTTCCGAGCAGCCCCGCCGCCCTACCTGAGAAGGCCGGCCTGCGGTCGGGAGCTTCTGGAGAGCGTGTCGCGGCGGCGGCCCCGGCGACACGCTAGCGGCCCTGCAAGCGGCTAGCGCGTCGCCCCGCTCCGCAGGGCGCGGGAGGCTCGGAAGTTCTCGGCACGTGGTGCCTCGGGACCACAAAGTGGATAGCGTGCCGCGCCGAAGCGCGGTGGGCCAGAGCCGGCGGAGCGACACGCTATCCAAAGGTTCGTGACCGTATCCTCTGCCTTCTCGTCGAGCAGCTCTCGAGAGGGGGAGGGGGCGCGAGGGCGGGGAAGCACAGCGGCCGAGGAGGGTCGGGCCCACGACGTGAAGGCAACGCGCATAGGAGCCGCCGAGGGGCCGGAGGGGCGGCAGGCGGTGCCTCTCAGACGGGGCCCGAATAGTCGGGGTCGGGGCATCGCGCCGCATCGCCAATACATCGCCGATGAAGCGGCGAGGCACCGGGCGACGTCGGCATTACATTGGCGCCGTCGGCGTGGAGAAGCTCTGGCTCCACGTCGAGCCGCATATCGCTGACGCACTGGCGACGCGGCGCGATGCTCCGACCCCATCTGCCCGGGCATCATCCCCAGACATGCGACGTGCTGTTTTTTTCAGGACGGCGTCCCTGGGAGTCCAGACCCTTTCCCCAGGGCCGGTTTTCCATCCCGAGTCGTTGTTTCACGCTCCCGGGGCCCGGGGAGGGCACCGAAGGGACGAACTAATTGAAAAACTGGCCGTCCCGAAGAATTTACGACGCTGTCCTGTCTGGGTTTATGTCGGGCGTGTCCCCCTACAGGGGGATTTTCGACGAAAAATAAAAAATACCCCAAAATGCCCCAAAAGGTTCAAAAAATACACCAAAAATAGTCCCCTGACTATTTTTGGATTATTGCTTGCTATTTTTAAGGATCATTTTTATTTTTCGTCGAAAACCCCTCTGTAGGGGACAGGCCCGACTTAAGTCTGGGTCTGGGAGGCCCAGGGGAACGCGCGCGCGAAGGCGGCGCTCCCTGCGGACGAGCAGCCCCGCATGCCAGGCAGGGAGGCGCGAGGCGCTCCGCTGTGGGCTCACTTTCCACCACCACTACCAGACGCAGGAGGAGGGAGGAGGAGGAGGAGGAGGACGAGGAGGAGGAGGAGGAGGAGGACGAGGAGGAGGAGGAGGAGGAGCTCCTCATCCTCCCTTCTCCCCCGTCCTACATGTGGTGGTGGTGGTGGACAATTTGCCCCTCACTCTCTGTGCTCGCCTGCGGGCGGCCCAGGCGAGTGTGAGGAAGGAGAGGCAGGACGTCGCTCTTTTCCGGGGCACCCGGCTGGGCAACGGGGGCCCAGCCCGGGAAGAGCTGACAGGCGACTCTGTTCTGCCCCCCTCCCTCGCCCAGGGGCCAGCGCTGGGCCGGCACCAGAAACGCGCATGCTATCCACCCACGCCGGTGCTGGCCAGACCAGCCATCTCCGACTCCCCGCCAGGGCCGTCCAAAAAACTAAGCGATCGGCTGGGGAGGAGCACGCAAATGACAGGTCGGCCAACAAACTTTATACAAGCGGCTCCCGGCATGCGAGCCGAAACAGGGCCCGCCAAGGCAAGGCCGCCCGCTGTCCTCGAGCGGGCCAGGAGCTGCTGATATTTGTAAATCGATCCACGGGACGAAGCCAATGGTATACAAAAAGGAAGGCGCGAGCGCCATCGCGCCAGACGCGGGCCCCTGCCCTAGCCAGGAAGGGGGCACGTCGGGTTGGGGAGGGGAGCCCAGGCTACATCATGTCCTTCTCCTCCTCCTCCTCCTCCTCCTCCTCCTCCTCTTCCTCTTTTTTTGACGTTGGGCAAACCTCAGGTCAGAGCCTGTGGCGTTCCTGTGGGCTATGCAAAACAGTTCGGCTGACTTGGCTATCACGAAACACAGAAAGCCGCGGGCAGGTGCGAAACAAGTTGGGTATCGAACAGAGATCAGAGTAATTAGTGGGCCCTGTCGGCGGAGTAACCGAGTCCGCGGCAGTGCGAGCGAGGGAGGAAACGCAAAAGCACAGAACCGAAAAGAGGCGATAATAAACCCCCGGGGGAAGTAAAATTCGCGGTCCCCGCGGGGATAATATAGGATGTTCCGGGGGAAGGTAAGCTATGATGCTGGATGATGATGATGGTGATGATGATGATGATGGTGATGATGATGGAGGAGGAGGAGGTTAAACCAGGCGCAGGAGGAGGAGCAGGAGCAAGAGGAGAAGGAGGAGCAGGAGCAAGAGAAGGATTGGCCATGTTGGTAGGGATCAGCACTCGGCGAGTGCTGATCCCTACCCAGACATCGTTCTGACGTCTACTCCATGTTTGTAACTAGTGCATCCCATGGCCCTGCCGCACGGTCGTAACGTGGGCAAACTGAAGTGAGAATCCCACAGCCCTGCGACACGCTCGTGATTGCGGAAGCTGGTGTGGCGAGACCATCATGGCCATGCTCAGCGTTTTTGCTGCTGTTGCTAATCAACATGATATGCTAGCAACTTCGATACCCGCAACTTTCCAGGTGATTATCAAGTTCGACCCCCGCGCCTTCCCCACATATAAATCCTTGTTTCGCGGGAAAAAAAGGGGAAAAGGGGGGGGCACCTTTATTATCACCCCTTCGGGGTTACAAGTGCACAACATGGGGGGAGGACACCGAAAGTGGAATGTCCTTCTCCTCCTCCTCCTCCTCCTCCTCCTCCTCCTCCTCCTCCGCTCATACACTTCTTGCTCAGCCCCCGCTCCTCCCGCGTCCTCCCCACCACATCTGGCCGCGCTGCCCTCGCACAGACCTGACTACGGCAGCTTACCGTTGTGGGCCCATCGCCCACAGACCTGAGACCAAATGCCCTCCATCGTGCCACTCCTCACCTGTCCTCCTCCTTCTCCTCCTCCTCCTTCTCCTCCTTCTTCCCCTCCTCCTCCTCCTCCTCCCCCTCCTCCCTCCGTTTTCCCATCCCTCTCCCCCCTGATCTCCTCGGGTCGTACCAATGGGGGGGGGAGTGAAACGAGGCTTGGCGAATCAGCTCGCGCGGCCAGTTTTCCAGGCGCCTCCCAGCGTTGGAGGCGCCAGTATGGGGGAGAGCGCCTGGCGGCGGGGCCGACACCAGCTGCGTGCAGCGGATTCCGTACCCCCCTATCTGTCCCATTTCCCCCCCGTTCGTCGGGTCCGACCCGATCCTCTCTTACTGATGCGGGAAAATCATCCCAAACCCCACCTGAGAAAACGTAAGCCCCGCCGGTCGGCCTACCCTTCCCAGGTGACACTGGGTGCCGTCTTCTTCGGGTTTTGCAGCACGCATCCCCGCCAAGGGTTTATGGCCGGAGAGCCACCTGAACCTGTGCCATCAATGAACTGTTGTAATGATTATGACGATCATGGCTGTGTCCTCCTCCGCCTCCTCCTCCTCGTCCTCGTCCTCATCCTCCTCCGCCTTCTCGGCATCCTCACTCCTTTCCCCTCTCCCTCGCCCCCCTCCTCTTCCTCGCCCCCCCTCCCGGATCGTGGGCAATAATACGATATCGCTGCTGCTGCTCTCCTGACCTCCCCTGGGAACCACTCTCACTGTGACTCCGGGGAGAACAGTCTGGCCGTGGCAACGTGAGACGATGCAGCAGTACCGTCGTGTTTACGTCATCAGTCCTCCGCCTCCTCCTCTTCCTCCTCCGCTCTTCTCCTGAGGCTTCCCGACCGGGGCCAGAGTGTATTGGGTCGGAGGGTCGCCGCCGCATCGGTGGCACATCGGCGATGCCCCGGCAGAAACGCGGGCTGCACATGGCGCCGTGCCGCCGCTGCGTCGGCGCTGCGGCGCCATCCTCCGACCCCATCGGCTCTGGCCCCAGAGGTGCTGGCAAACGCACAGAGTTCATGCTCCTGCTCCTGCCCCCGACTACGTCCCCCTTCTGACCTTGCCCCTGATTCCCCCCCTTGCGAGGCGGGGGTGTGTCCACGAGCCTCTCGGGCCTTGGTTATGAGGAGGACCCGCTTTTTCTGCAGGACCCCCTTCGACCCCGTTCCTCCAGGGCCTGCCTCCACGCCCAGAAGGGAGGAGGAGGAGAAGGAGGAGGAGAAGGGAGGAGGACGGAGGAGGAGGGAGGAGGAGGAAGAGGAAGAGGAGGAGGAGGAGGAGGAGGAGGAGGAGGAGGAGGAGGGACCATATCCCCGCCTCGGACCCCTCCTCTTCTCGCACCCCCGCCCCTGGACCAGATCACAGGGCGGAGGGCGGAGGCAGCGAGCGCAGAACAGGTCTGACCCACCGGCGAGGACCGAGTCATCGCGCAGCCTGTGGCAAGACTGCTCGCCAGGGAGAGGCCCTGCGGACAGGACACTTTTTTGATCCGCGGGTCGAGAGCAAGCGGGCCGCGCACAGCTTTAATTCGCAGAGGGGGGGGGCAAAAGAAGGCGGGGCCTCACGTCAAGGCCGAGAGAGGGCAAGCCCCGGGATCAGGTGGCGCCGAAATCGAAAAGGCAGGAGAAGGTACGCCTTGGACAGGAGCCCGATGGCGAAGTCCCGGGAGGCGAAAAGCCGGTGGTGGTGCCGTCAGCGGCGCTTCGAGTACGACCGCGGACGGGACACAGGCACAGAGGCGACTGCGGATAGGACACGGGCTCAGAGGCGAGGCCAGCGCTGCGATCCTGGAACCGTGCCCAGATATCTCCGACGACCTGACTTTTCAATCCCTAGAGAGAAGCAAACCTGCATCGAGGAGATCACTGGAGGGCCCGCGCGGACTTCTGCGGCTCTGGAGGCGCAGCCAGGACGGGGGGGCCAGGCGGAGCCGCTCCGTTGTTTGACTCTTCGAAGCCCTTGTTTGACTCTTGTTGACTCTTCGAAGCCCTTGTTTGACTCTTTGAAGCCCAGCGCTCCCCGTCGACTCCGGCCACTGGGGACTGTTTTACACAACGCGCATACGATACGTAAGACTTCTGCCTGTAAGAGATCTTGGGGCACATTCGTCGTCGATAGGCGGAGGAGGAGGAGGAGGAGGAGAAGGAGAAGGAGGAGGAGGAGGAGGAGGAGGAGGAGGAGGGTCCTGAGGTGCCCCAGATAGCTTCTGTGGGCCCCCTGGGACCATCGGGGGGTCAATAAAACCTGTGGGGCACTGGCTGGCAGGTCGAAGTCGCATTTGATGGTGCCTGCTGTACTGGGCCCCAGGGACATCAAAAAAAGCTCTCCACCACCACCACCACCACCACCACCACCACCACCACCACTGAGCCTAGCATCCAGCAGGACGCGTGGACATCAAAAACTGCTCTGGGGCGAAAAAATGCTTGGGGGAAGGGATCGTGACCCCTGGGGCCACACATCCGAAAAAACAGATCGTCGGATGCCTGGGACTGGCACAAGGGGGGAGACATCGACCAGGAATCGGCGATGCATCGCCGTTCATCGGCGAAAGGCTCTCAATGGCAAAACCCCACGTCCCTGGGCTCGGTGGCTATCATTCCCCTGTCGGCGATGACTGGACTGGGCGATTGGGGGTCGATGCATCCCCCCCTTGGCATATCCCTCCTTCACGTTGCCTTAAAGGCCGACACTGCGATCCCGGCGTCGTGCGTACTGTTTTCGTACCGGGCGATTCTCGCACCTAATTCAAATCTTCGGCCTCTTGAGACCCCTCACCTGAGTCGATCCGGCTCGAGATGTGCCGCAGAAGTCCGCACATGTGCCTGCAGCATTGGTGTCATCGGCGTGGGCTTGAAACTTCTTGTAGCGTCCCGGGAGGATGCCCCCTTGGACCGGTGTTCCCCGAACGGTGCTTGCATTTTGGTATGTACTCTAACTTCGGTTATCTGAAAGATTTGATGGGCTTCTTCTCCACCACCACTAGCATAGGTAGGAGTGGGCGGAAGAGGAGGAGACAGAGGAGGAGCACCTCCACATCCTCCCTTCTCCCCCGTCCTGCATCTGGCAGCGGTGGTGGAACACTGGTCCAGCGGGATGGGTCGGGTCCGCCGAGGCTTCGCTGGGTGCCCCGTTGGTGGCTGGTTCCCAGACCCCCGACGCCATGACTTTCTCATGACGCCGACCCCCACAGCTCTCGACCCATTCCCCGAGACCAGCTTTCCATCCCGAGCCGTGCTCTGACGGTCCCGAGGGCCGGTCTATAAGGGCTCCCGGAGGCCGAACATGGCGAAACACCTCCCGTCGTGCTTTTTGTCATACCTCGAGGGGGTCTGGGCTTGCATTGGCCCCCGCCTCTCTAGGCTCCCGATCCTGCCCTGGAGGTGTCGGCCCTCCGGGGGGGGGGGGCCGAGGGGGTCCGGGCCGTGGGCGCCCCGTGCACGCCCCGCGCGCTGGGTGGCTCCGCCCGGGCTTCGCCGGGGGGGCCCGCCCGCGGGCGCCCTGCGCGGGCGCCCTGCGCGCCGGGTGGGCCGACGGGGGGTGTCGCCTCCCGGGCGCCTCGTGGGCGCCCCGAGGTCGACTCCACCTCGCCTCGTCGTCGCGCCGCGACGGAGGTCGGAGGGCGCCTTCGGCGCGCGGCGGCTGCCCGCGACGGCGGTCGATGTGGGGCTGTCGGCGGGGGTGACGCCCCCCGACGCCTATTGATAAACTCGGAGTAGCTTGCAGCACAGAGACTGCGCCACACGCATAGCTCTCACCACACAGCTCACAGCGCACAGGGTACACCGCACAGCGTCCAGCACGTCTAGGTTGCACCACGCCGCTCACTTACGACACCTGGTCGGCATCGCATAAGCTTGCACCACACAGCTTGCACCGCACAGCTTGCATCACATAGCTTGCAGCTGTGTTGGCACCTGGTGCCAGGTACCACGTAGCTAGGACCACATAACTTGCACCACAGGCCTCACACATCGACAGCCCACGCCGCCACCTTTTCGTCATTCGGCAATTCGTCTCGATGATTTGCTTACAGCTCCTTTTGTGACTTCACACGATCGATGTGTTGCACTTCCCTTCGAAGATTGTCTGTAAGGGTTCACCATGCAGCTTCACATGCCCATCGAGGGAGCCTGAGCACCCGAAATCGGTGACCCATCGTGGCCCCCAATAATGCCCTCCTGTCGTTGTCCCCATCGTAGCCCCCCATGGATGCCCTCCATAGCGAACTGGGTAAGGCCACTTCGGTTCTTCTGCCGCACAAGTCGTATTTCCCGCGACGTCGGATCTCAGAGCCGACACCGCCTGGCACTGCGAGACCCAGGCGCCGGCGCGGGCCTGCAAGGGCAGTGGGCCCTCAGCTGTCAGCCAGGAGTTGCGCCACGCGACCGTGCCCGCCGACCATCGGGGGTGCCCTTGGCCGTCGGGGGGCGCCAGCGGAAGACCCGCATAGCCAGATCTCGACGATCTCGGACGATGTGGCACCTGTTCACTTCTCGATCCCTGCCTCGCGGACATGTTTATCGGGACAAAGGGCAATCAGATATGGGCCGAGAGCGGCAAAAAAATGGGTACTGCGCACCAAAGAAACGTGCCATCGCCAGGTGTCTGGGCACCGATCCGGCTCGGGTGTTCGGCAACGGGGGGGCAATGCGAAGAGGTGAAGAATCGTACACCTCTCGTGCACGTTCCGGGCCCCGTAGTGGCAGGTTGGGGACCATGTATGGCCCCTCGAGAGTCACTTGCCTGCAGTCCTCGAGTTCTCCCACCCTTGCTGATCAAGCAAATTCCAAGCCTCGGGATCATAAATGGTGCGAGGTCTCAGGCGAGACGCCCAGCTCGCCCATCTTGGGGTGCGACAGGGAGGAGTTGCTCATAAGGGAAAAGGATGGAGAGGGAGGAGGAGGAGTGGAAGAGGAGGAGGGGGAGGAGGAGGAGGAGGAGGAGGAGGAGGAGGAGGAGGAGGAGGAGGAGCAGGAGGAGGAGGAAGGGAGGGAGGGAGGGAGGGAGGGAGGAGGAGGAGGAGAAGGAAGGGAGGGAGGGAGGGAGGGAGAGAGGGAGTGGCGGTGAAGGGCCACTCTCTTGCCCCCCCCGTTGCCGCCCGCCCGCCCTGGCCTGGCCGGCCTTGGGCCCGGGACCGGTGTTGCCTGCTCGACCCTGGCCAGGCCGCTCGAGGGCAGGCAAACAGGCCCACAGTAGAGGCCTCCTAGACGGGGTCCGAGTAGACTTACGTCGGGCCCTCCTGGGCAGAAAAATAAAACTATTAAAAGCATGCACCAAACTAGCCAACAAATACTTAAACAAATCGTCCCAAGACTGTTTGTTCACAATGTTTGAATTTCCCTCCTGTAGGGGGACAGGCCCGACTTAATCCTATCCCAGATGGGGTCCGAGTAGATGAGGTCGGAGGATCTCGCCGCATCGCCGATACATCTGCGATGCATCGCCGATGCATCGGCGATGCACTGGCGACGTCGGCGATGCATCGGCGACGTCGGCGTGGGAAAAATGGGCCCCACATCGAACCGCATCGCTGACGCACTGCCGATGCGTTGCTGATGCAGCGCGATCCTTCGATCCCATCTGCTCCGACCCCCTCTGGCAGGCCTGGAGACAGACCCGCCCTCGGCCCGGGGCGCTGGCCCTCGCCGGGATGCGGTGCTGCGGTGCGAACCTCTGGCGCCCCGAACCAGCCTCGAGCGGATCCCCATCCACAGGACTTGACAGGCCAAGAGGCAGTGACACTCTCAGGGGGGGCATGCGCCCTCGGAAACCGAGGCAGGCCTTCAGATCTGGTGCCCAGATAGGGCGATGACCGCCAGAAGGATAGGGATCTGTCTCGGGCTGGCAATGCTGTGCGAACGGTTGGCGCCCTCCATGTCGCGTGGAGGGTCCCCCCCAGAGGAGCCGAGGGGCCAGCACCAATGGCCTGGTCGAACGAGTAGGAGGGGAGCAGCAAGTGGTGGTTTCGCGAGTCAGCTCACGCAGCTGATTCTCCTGGCGCCTCCTGCCGCGGGGTTCGTCAGCGTATCGAGGAAAGCGCCGGACCGCGAGGCCAAAACCAGCTGCACGCAGCAACTTTCGTCCCCCCCGTTTGCCTGGGTCAGGGGCTGCGGCTCGCAGTCCAGAGAGTGTTCCAACGGATCACCAAGAGATTCGTCAGCACGCAGCCCCAGGAGGAACGAGCAGGCGCCATCTTGGACGCTCGAGAATCACCTGCCAACTCAGAAGTGGGTTTTGACGGATCATATTGGCCCGGACTCGCGAAGCCACAGCATGCAGGTTTAGAATAAGAAGAAGGAATAACGGCGTGAACATATTTTTTGGCGCTCCGCGCGGATTTCTTGGATCTGCTCTGGACCCCGCGCTGGAGGCGTCGCCTGGGGGCGCCCCAGGTGCTGATACAAGAAGTCCGCTCGGAGCGCCAAAAGGTTATGTGTATAGTATGATTTCTTCTTCGAAGCTCAGATGTTCGGGGGCGCGCAAACATGGATTAGCGATCCATGGATGTGGCGCGCGGTCGCCAAATCCATGCATCGGGGGAGGTGCCCTCCCCAAGATGCGGCTGGTGCCGCCTCGCTCGGCGGCGGAAATCCGCGATGCCCCATGGAAACGGGACCCGTCGCTGACCCAAGCCAAATTGGTCCATGTTTGCGATCGCCTGACCGGAGGTGAGAAGGCGGACTCCGGAGGTGAGGGGAGAAGGATACTCGGAGGCGGAGGAGGAGGAGGAGGGAGGAGGAGGAGGAGGAGGAGGAGGAGGAGGAGGAGGAGGAGGAGGGAGGAGGGAGGAGGAGGAGGAAGAGGGGGGAGCATCCTGGTGGCCCCCGTTGCCCTGTCCCCCCCTGCTCGTCCGGCCCGAGCGGGGGCCCGGGCCGCATGCCCAGGGCGCTGCCGCGCCGTCGAAGGCCCAGGGAGGACGTCGCCACGCTGTCCGTGGCCAGTGGTGGATCACGTGCACGACGACGACGACGGCGGCGACGACGACGACAATGCCAACGACCACTACGACCATGACGACAATGCCAACGACCACTACGATCATGACGACAACGACGACGGGGACGACGACACCGACGACAACCAGTGACAACAACGACGACGACGACGACGACGACGACGACGACGACGACGACGACGACGACGACGACGACGACGACACGACGACGGCATGATGTGGGACGCGCAGAGACATACGAATACTGGAAGTCGTCCTCGGAGGCGCGCGTCCGCCCCGAACCTATAGTGTACCCATCTGGTAATAGATCGTTTCCCGAGCGGTGCGGCCAGAAAACACCGGCCACGACGCATATAGTGGAAGATGTCTCGGTGCGCGCGGCGCCCCTGGGGGGGCGACGCACATATAGTATAAGTGTGTTGGGTTGATGCCAAGATGCCCCCCTGGACCTTCGCAGGTAGCGGGCGTCGACAGTAAGAGGCGCGAAGCTGGATTGGCATCCACTCTCGGGTGCCCTGTCGAGGCTGGGCAGGTGGCCATAGGCGTCCCTGCGACAGGCCATACATCGACGGCTGCCTCGGACCGGAAAGCGCAGGAGGCCCTGTCAGGCGCCGCCATGTGAGCTGCAGCGTGGGGGGAGAGATCCCTTTCATAAGCTGCATGTGCTCATGCGGGCGCAGACGCCCGGAAGATACAAACTGCAAAGTGTTGAGGCCCCTCTCGAGTGGTGGCGAGCAGTGGGCATCAGAGAGCAAAGAGAAAGAGAGAGAGATGTAGAGAAAAGAAAGAGATGGAACACACAATACATACATATATGTATATATATATGTGTAAAGAGAGAGAGAGAGAGAGAGAGAGAGAGAGAGAGAGGGATGAGCAAATAGGATAACGACAAGAAGGGAAGATGTCACGGTGCATGGCGAGCAACGCAGAGTGGCCAACGATGACCGACTGGAGGCCGACCCCCAAACCGAGGGGCAACCGCCCGGGGAGCACGGAGGCGCAGACCTCCACAAAAAGTGCCCCGAGGCGGAAGCTGGGCGGCGAAGCTGACTCTTGAAGGACCCCACTGGCTTGATGTCGGGCGTGTCCCCCTACAGGGGGATTTTCGACGAAAAATAACAAAGTCGTCAAACATGCAACAGAAAAGGTCGAAAAATACTCAAAATAGTCCCCAGACTATTTTTGGATTATTTTCTGATTATTTTTGTAGTATTTTTTATTTTTCGTCGAAAATCCCCCTGTAGGTGGGACAGGCCCGACTTAACACTGGCTGGGGCTTCGATGGCACGCGCGTGCCACGCGTGCCCGACGCCAAGCGGCTAGACCAACACTGGCGCGAGGGAGCGAGGTCCTGGTGGAAGCGGGTCCCAGACCCTGGGGCCTGCCCCAGGGAGCAGCCTTCGTCATGAGCCATTTGCTTCACCGTCCCGAAGCCGAGGGAGGGGCCCGGGAGCCTCAGAGCATGGTACCACTCCAGGACGAATTGCCTCCAGAACCTCTCCCTCCCTCGAGCCGACAGTCGATCGCCCGCCTTCGACCCGTCGCTTGGTTGGAAGGCCGAAGAGAACAGCATATGCACAGACGGAGGTCTTGGAGCGCTGAATATCTACAAGCGTCGCGGCGGCAGCCTGCTTGCCGGGCGACTGGGACTAAAAGGGGGTCTGGCGAGCAAGGGTTAGGTCGGGCGTGTCACCCCACAAGCGGATTCTGGACGAAAAATAAACAAATTGTCAAACCACGTTCAAAACAGTTCAACAAGTAACAAGAAAATGGTCCCCGGACTATCTTTCTACTGTTTTGGGATATTACTCCTGTAGAGGGACACGGCCGACTTAAAGCAAGGGGGAATAACGATTTGTTAATGTTCTCCTGCCCGGACAGCGCCAGAGGGGGCGCCGCCTCCCCCAGAGCACGAGGCAGAGGTCAGCCCAGGACCCAAGAGCCCCGCTGCCACCACAAGATCACCCCCAACGCAGAAGAACACCTCTTAGATCATCGATACTCCCTCCTCGGCCTTCGATCTGATGAGGGGGATGTCGAACACTCCAAGGGTAGCCACCTAGCCACCCACGGGCCAATCCATGGACTCGTCTCTGAAATCCTTTCGACTGGAGTGCCGAAGAGGGTCTGGCAGTGGCCACGGAGAGTTCCGTGAAGGCCCCTGGGCAGCGATATTAGTCAGCAAGGTACCCCAAACAACATGCCTTTAGCAATTTATGTGGTGTTGTCTTCTGGGGCAATCTGAATGGTGCAACTTGAGAGGAGCAGTCAATTTGGTGCAGCCTCTGTGGTGCAATACGATGTATATGTTGTGCAAGCTACGCCGTGCAATATATGTGTTGCTATCTGGGTCGTGCAACCCATGCTGTGCCATCTGTGTGATGCGATCTATGTGGGGTAGTATATGCGGCGAAATGTATGTGGTGCAATCGATGTGGTACAAATCACTTTGACCGTCTTGAAGCTGTCCTCTCTACTGCTCGTGCAAACATCCCACCCTCCCACCCGCAACTTGGTCGCAAGACTTCTTAAGACAAGACCGTGACGGTAGGTACCACATGGCACTTGGCCACGACACCGACGCCGACGACGACAGCGACAACGACGACGACGGCGCCGCAGACACCGACTACGACGACACCGCCGACGTCGACGTCGACGAAGACGACGACGACGCCGACGCCGACGACGAAGACGACGACGTCGCCAACGGAGACGACGACGAGGGAGGAGAAAAAACGACGACGGCGACAACGACGGCAACGACGATGGAGGAGGGAAGGCGGCGACGACGCGAACGACGAAGAAGGAGGAAGGACGGCGACGTCGACGACGACAACGACGAGGGAGGAGGGAAGATGACGACGACGACAGCGACGACGAAGACGACGACGACGGCGACGAAATAGGAGGGACGACGACGAGACGCCGACGACGGACGACGACGACGACGAGGGAGGAGGATAACGACGAGGGAGGAGTGAAGACGACGACGACGACGACGACGACGGCGACGAAATAGGAGGGACAACGACGAGACGCCGACGAAGACGACGAGGGAGGAAGGACGACCACGGCGACAACGACGACGGAAGCGACGACGACGCCAAGACGACGACGACGACGACGACGAGGAAAGACAGAGGACGACGAGGCGACGACGACGACGACGACGACGACGGGAGGAGGGGACGACGACGACGACGACGACGACGACGACGCAAGAGCGCGCGCGCACGCTTTTGTTGAACATCCGTGTTGCGAAACCTTGTGTTTTTGTATGTTTTTTGGACACACGATTTTGAAATCCTTCCGAAACCGATGGGTTTTGAAGGTTTTCGGCATACGCGCACGACGACTCGCGCGTCTGCACTTCGTCCCGTTTTTTGCAGGGGATTCTCGCGACGGCACACGCGCAAGGGCGTTCGACAGATTTCGACATGAGCGCGCGCGAAGCCCGTTTGGTAGCATTTTGTGAACATGTTGAAGAACCTATGATTTTCTAAAGATTTCGCAAGAGCTGTCGCGGAAGTTGTTTTAGCAACTCTGTGTTGCGAAACCCTGTGTTTTTGTATGTTGTTTGGAAACTCGATTGCGAAATCTTCCAGCACCGAAGGTTTTTTGAAGGATTTCGGCATGCGCGCGCGACGACGCGCGCCTGTGCACTTCGTCTCATTTGTTGCAAGGGATTCGCGAAAACGTGTTATGTTAGAACAAAACATGTCACCGCATAGTGTTTTCTTTTTACCCGGGGACCTCAGGGGGGGGGGATACCGGCCTAGCTGGGATGGTACGATTTCATTTTTAGGATGGACAAGTGTGCAGAATATATATATATATATATATAATATGAAATCATACTATCCCAGGGGGAACCGATAAGTCCGGGGGGGGGTAGAGTCTATTCTCTTTTTAGAAAAGGAGAATTAATGTTTGTTCGCAATGGGTGGTCAGCTCCACTGCTCGCGCAATCATCCCACCCACCCATACACAAAAAACTTGGCTTGCACAAGCCCATGCGGCTGCGATTGCGATGAGTGCTTGGTGTTGAAAGGTGCACCTTTGCGGCTGCAGTAGCCCGCGCATGCTCGCGCGCGCAGCGGCCAGCTACTTTGGCGCGACCGACGCGGTCGCGGTGGCGCTGGCCGCTGGGCATTTCCCAGCGGGCACTTCAGTGCGAGTGGGCGGGCGCGGCCGCACAGATGCGGTGGACAATGGTAGACACGAGGATGATGGTGGCGATGCTGGTGACGATGATGACAACAACGACGGCAAGGCCGGTGACGGTGCCGATGATGATCGCGTCGACGACGATGACGGCGTCCCCGCATCGGTGATGAAAAGTTAAGAAGGCGTTCGACATGCGCTCGCGCAGAGAGACGCGCTAGAGTGGCCCGCGTTGTAGTATTGATACGGATCGTGACAGCCCGGCACGTGCGCAAGTGCGTTCGAATGATTTCGAAATGCGTCGCGAAAGGCCTGTTTGGCAGAATTACATGAAAATGTTGAAAACCGAACCTATGTTTTTTGTTGTTGAACACTGGCGTTGGGAACCCATTTGGTTATATGTTTTCGGGAAACTCGATTTTGAACCCCCTGCGAACAGGAAGGCTTTTGAAAGATTCCGGCGTGCGCGCGCAACGACGCGCTTGCGCACTTCGTCCCATGTTTTGCCAGTGGTCCTTGCGACAGCATGTGCGCAAGGGCGTTCGAAGGATTTCTGCATGCGCGCGCGAGAAGCACGTCTAGTAGCATTGTATGAAAATGTGGCAAACTTCGGGTTGTCTGAAGTATTCGCAAGAGCGCGGGCACAAGTTCCTGTTGAAAACGCTGGTTGCGAGGCAGAGGTGTTGGAAGGATTTTGCGTGCGCGCGCGGCGACGTGTGCGTGTGAACTTCGTCACATTTTTTTTTGCAAGGGGGATCTGGAAACTGATGATTTCTGCTGAGCGAGTGCGCGCGCATGATAGTTGTCTGTTGCAAGGGGCCAAAGAGGGGGAGGGGGGGCGATGCCAGCGTGAGATATGATGAACTAGTTTGTAAGATGGACGACGGGCAGAATCGCACTGTATGCAGATTGCACTACGGAGGAAAGGTACCGTTAATTCCGGGGAGGCGGGGGAGTAGATCCTATACTTTTCGAGAAAAAGAACGTCTATGTTGCGCAATAGACTATGCAATTTACGTGGTGCAATCTACGATGCACAATACTTCGCCGCCGCGAGAATCCTGCCCAAATGCACTGCCTCCCGTTCGGCGACGGGGCCCCGGTACAACGGTGTCACTGGCGTTGCGCCCGCGACGCAAAACAAAAAAAAAACGTCAAAGGGCCCCGTCAGGCTGCGGGGCCCCAGTACAATGTTGTGTTCAAGCACTGTTTTGGTCAGAAGTCTCGGGCGGAACCGCCCCTTCGAATTCGAACCTGGTGGTTTCGCAATCCAATCCAAATCGTTTTTGAAGGGCTGTTGGCGGAAGTCTCCAGCGAAAACCACACCTTGGAAATCTCTGGTCGGAAATTTAGCACTCCTAATGCCAAACAGCGCGGGCATTTCGAACAAAAAACGGTTTCGCTTGAGACTTCCTCGCAATACCACTTCCAACGATTTCGGAACTTCTGGGACCGATTTCTGGCGTTCCCGCCCACGATTTCCTCCAAACTAGAATTCCGATTCTGGCCATCGCTCGGACGTCCATTCCCTGTGTGTTTTCGGTTTCGTGCGTGGTTTTTTCGCCAAATGATCAAGGATGCTCCTCGATGGTCCTCGCCGAAGGAACAGTGCACACGTCCGAGCGATGCCAAGGATTTGTTTTGGCTCGGCTTCGAAAAAGAGCCCCCGTCCAGGACGTCTTCCGAAACGGAATCTGGGGCCTTTCGGGTTCGAATGCGACATGGTGCTCTCGCCCAGGACGTCCTCCAAAATCGAATTCGGAACTCTTCTGGTTCGACTTCGGAACCCAGCCCCCATGCAGGACTTCTTCCGAAACGAAATTCGGAGCCTTTTTGGGTTCGATTTCGACATGGCGCTCCCGCCCAGGACTTCCTGAGCACAAGAATTGTGCACTGGTCTGGTTTCGAGCTGGCGCTCCCGCCCACATCCTCGAACATCGGCGTCGGCATTCCTTCCGCTCGAGCTTGCAATAGCGCTCCCACCTAAAGATTTGCCTTGGTGGAAACGCGAAACGGGCCAACATTTATGAACTGCCGACTGCGGTGCAGCCTGTGTTGTGAAACCAACGTTGTACAATCTACGTGGTGCAATCTGTGCGGTGCAAGTTGTTTTGGTTTCCTCGCAATGTTTGCGCAATCATCCCACCCATCCACGTACAACTTGGTTTGCAAAACGCACGCGGCTGCGATTGCGGTGGCTCTTCGGCGTTGGCTGGTGCATTGCTGCGGACGCGCGCAGGCTCGCATACAGAGCGGCCAGCCAGTCTGGCGCGACCGACGCGGCCGCGGTGGCACTGACCCCTTGGAACTTCCTCGCGCGTGTCGGAAGACGCGCTGGCGCGCAGGCGCACCAGTGCGAGTCGGTGACCCGGACGGGCGCAATATCACAGCGACGTCGGCAACGGCAGAATCGATGAAGATAGTAGCGGTGCCGGTGGCCATGGTGGCAATCACGACGACAAGGGCAATGACGGCGCCGATGCTAATCACGCCGATGACGATGATGGTGCCCACGTGCTGGTGA